ATCGATCGTATCGAGTCCGTCACCTCTGTTTTACGCAAAATCACGTTTAAAATTGGCTCAGAGATACGCCCTAACTGCTAGTTCTAGTGGGACACAAGTGGTGCTGTACCTCGAGCGAGTCCAAGAGACTGGTAGACGTGACAAGCTCCTCTAATAAGAGTAAAGTTGGTACCATTGCCGATTGTCTAACAATCTAGACAATCCAGGAAATGGGATCCAACCCCTCGTCACGAAGCTAGTTTTAAAAAAAAACTACTAGAGCTAGGCTCTGACTAAGCCAGATTAAACGCAATTTAGGCTAGTAGATAATAACAGAGAAATGAACGCCCTGACCAGAGTTATACAACTCCTTTTTGAGCGACCCACCAGGGTGGAATTCTGTAACTCATTATGCAATCGTTATGTGCTCATAACGACTGCATAACTCGAGTTATCGAATACAGGCCCAGAGAAGAATCCGAGTCGATCGATCGTCTTCTTAAAGCTAAGAGCCGAACTGTTGGCCGATAGACAGAGCGCGTCCTCAATTAGCCGACAGCAACAGTAGTTGCTAAACCGCGCAAACATGCACCACGAAGTGCGTGACATTACGCGGCCGACATCACCTCGTGCCCGGACACTTGGCGTGAGAACGTTGCAGTGACCGTGACCACCTCAGCAACGTCTCAATGAGAGTTCCGCTTTCCTGTCAAAACGTCGAAGTATGATTTCATCGCCGAAATAGAATTTTATCAAATGAGTTTTGTTAAAAGTCCATTATTAGTCCGATAACTTTAACGGCACTCCCGAAGCAAACGCGCGACGCGACGAACCGGCTGCGGTTCGTTCACTCTCAATTAAATCGGCGAACGAGGGTACGTTGGCTTCCCCGTCGTTGGATTTTTATACGAAGAGAACGATTTTACTTAATATCTCAATAAAAATTTATCTAGACATATCGTTCAGATAGATCAAAAAATTTTTAGATAGATTTGAGAAAAACCATTTTTTTCGTATATATCCTCGGGGTACTGAGCCCTCTCACCACGTCAAGGTGTACCCAGAGAGGGAAGATATCATTTGAAAAATGTAATCGTTGCTGACTCTCATTAGCCTACTGTATTTATCTTTGTGCTATTATCTAATTACTATGCAATTATAGGTTGACTTTTAGAAATGAATATTAAGCACACACATCAATTCGTCACCATTCCGAAATAATTAAAGGGTAATTTTCACACTATTTGTTTAAAAAAGAATCAAGTTTTGTACCGGGAAGTAATTGTTAGTTTGTAATAACTTTATGTTACACAAAATCAGAGTAATGTACACAATATTTTCAACAAAAGAAAGATTGATGCCTTGTGACTTTTTGTTACTTTTAAATATTATTAATTTTTATTTAATTGTAAATCATCAGAAAGAGCAATAAAAATTGAGATATAATATTGGGATGTCAGAAAAACTTTACGAGCAATTTTTTCAAAAAAAAAAAACTACATCAATTTTTACTTCTTGCCTTTTGTCAGCGTATTAGTTGATACGAAATACCTGAAATTTATATTCAAGTAACACAACTAAGTCACGATAACGTCAAAACGACGTCAAAATGATATCGTTTTGATGTCATTTTAACGTTATTGATACTTGGAATAATAAATGTCAAATATCTGTTCTCCAATGTATCACGATATAATTATGTTATTGTATTACATTAAATGACACGCACCACTAAAACTAATCTGCTAAATTTTAAGAAAATCGATATGAGAAATTATTTCATTAATTCCGTGATGAAATACTAATTAGATTTTATTTTGTTTTTCAAGTAATATAAAGTCAAATTATAAATATATCAATATATAATACAAAGCTCGGTTGTATTTAAAAAATAAAGTTATTTAAAGTATACATTTTTAAGAAGCACTTTTGTACATAAATATAAAATTAAGATTAAGTTAGTAAGAAAATAATTTGTATTTTTAAAACAAAGAATTTGTTTTAAAACAGAGGATTCGTGTTTTTAAAGCAGGAAATTTGTATTTTAAAGCAAAGAATATAGTACATGTAGATAATCGAGCTGTAGGCAATAATTTTTGTATGCAACGAACTGTCGGCAAAAGTGATGTAGGCAAACATATTGTAGGCAATCGATTTGTATCAAATAGCAAACGAGAATGGATTGAAATGGATTAAAATGGATTCAGATTTTCAAAAATACGGATTCATGAATGTTAAAATAAATTCTTTTCAATTCTGAATGCATTTTTATTCATTTATAAGAATTGCATGAAACAAATGTCTATTCCTTTTCAATCTTGAATGCATTTTTAGGAATGACATGGAGTATATTTTTATGCTTTTCAATTTAAAAATAATATTATAGTATTTTCTATTGTGAATACTGTTTAATTTAAAATTCTGAATATGAAATGCAGTTTTTCAATCTAATTAAATCTAAAGATAATATCGCCATTTCCGTGCATTGTAAATACTGCTTAATTAAAAATTCTGAATAGGAAATGCAGTTTTTTAATCCAATTGAATAAAAAAAAGTTTTTCTTTTAATGACCCATTTTCTTAAAATGAGCCATGAATATTATTTAAAATTGTGAGTGGAAAATCCATTATTTCATTAAAAAATGCATCATAAATACTATTTTATTGCATGCATGCTATTTTATTCAAAATTATGAATAAGAAATTTTTCGTTTTAAAACTGAGTTAAAAAAAAGTATTATAAAAATATATCATAAATTCTACTTCATTTAATAATAAAGAAACATAAAAAGAACTACGTAAATATATGCAATAAATATTACATATGTAAATTCCTTATTTTTAATTAATAAATTAATTGCTTTTATGTATATTTTATATTAATACGTTTCCTTTATTATAAAGCTAGCATATATTTTTTGTATAAAAGTTTTAAAAACTATAGAATTTCATGTAATTACCACTTTACTTTATTTAAACTTTTGCATGTACTTAAATTTTTTATATAGAATTCAATTCATTTTTATGGATTTAAAATACGGATTCGGATGGATTGAAAATTTCCAATCTATTTTAATCCACTTTTGTTTGCTGGGTAGACAAACGGAATCCCCCTCAAATCAGTATTTTCTTATGATTACCTCCGAACCATATAACTTTCGTCTGAAACATTTTCCTGCGTCAGTTTTTAAGAAATCTAATGCTGTATAATCCAGAGAATATAAAAACCACAAGCTGACGTATCAAGAACAATTACGTAACAAAAAAAAATGTGGCTAGCCAGACTAGTTAATTTAGTTTAAGAATAGAATGCTGAGATCACACGTCACACGAACACCAGTGAGATCGATCGTCAGCGGTTTGTTAAAATTTTTGAAAGGCGATTATAAAGTAACTTCAACAAGTGTGAAAGTTCTACTGTAAACAATTTAAAAAAGTGTTAAAATTGAGATTAAAATTTATTTAAAGTAATATTGTAACTACCTAACTTTTGCGCAGAACTCGTCGGAGTGCACAAGAGGTTCGTACGGGACGTGAGATGCAATTCAAACAGACTGAACGGTTATTGGATTAGAAAAAAAAATATCTTTACAAGTTGATATAAAAAGATTTTTTTAGCAAGCCATGTATTCTCCCTTAAAAAAATTGGCAATTATATCACTTGATGGAGCAACGTTTCAGCTTTAAGAATCTGTATTTTTAATCACAATACGATGATTTTTTTAACGGAGTTAAAAGCAATAAAGTCAAAATATTCCTTTTTACTTAATTTGCAAGTATATATTGTATATATATAAAACTCAGAAACAAAAAATCGTAGGAACATTTTTAAAAAACGATTTTGAGGAAAAGCTTTCACGATAGATAGTAAAAAATTTACTCAAATTTTTTTTGGGTACGCTACAGACCTACAAAGCGAAAAGAAAATGTTTCATTTTTTTCAGCTCGTACTTTCCTATATGTAAAAATGACCAAACTCGTATAAATTCAAAAATATATAGGAATCATTCGAAAGTAGAAATTTCAAGTTTCACAAAAACTTTTTTTTAAATTTAAATTTTTATCATTTTTAATAAAGATATTAATGGGGAAATGTCTGTTTTTTTTACCAACTTAAAGGGACATTTTCCCTAATCCAATAATAAAGAAATGCAATTTATTAAAATATAATGTGTGCAGAAAGAATGTGTATGTGTATGTATGAATGCGTGTGGACAGTCGCGGTTCGTAGTAGCGGATGTCGCGAACGGTTTTTCTATTGCGCAGTAAGGCTTGTTCTACAATAGAGTCGTAAGCAGTAAGCCGTAAAAAATTAACCAATCGATTATTCTTCTCACATTTAACTTGTGATTGTTTCCAATTTCTTACAGCTTACGACTTACGACCCTATTGTAGAACAGACATAAATGTGGATTGCGGTATGCGTGACGGCAATCAACTGTCGCGCGGCTGTGGACGCGGGTACACAGCGAATACATTCGATTTATTCCTTGGAGTCAGATATTACTATTCTCTCATGAGTTTATTAATATTTTAAAAATACTTATAAATTAAAAAATGGTCTAGCAAAAATAAATTAAAAAGCTTTTATTGGATTTACATTTATGTTATGCACATTTTCTATTAAACTAACCAAAAACATTAAATTTTATTAAAATTTTTAATGACAAAGTTAAAATAATTATACGTTTCAATGTATTTTTTTTTCAGTAAACATATTTAGAACATTGAGATTAATTAATGTAATTTTGTCTTGTAGCGCATAATATAGATTCAGCGAGTTCGTTGAAGAATTAAAGGAGAGAATTAACAGTCGAAGAAAATAAAACTTGATTAAATTGTCTAATTATTTAATTAACAAAAAATGCTTGTTATCATATTGCTGTTATTAATACTCATTATATTGGTGTATAATTATTATGTGCATTACACAAAAAACGGGCAACTTATCAATCTTATACCAGGACCACTAGGTTATCCAATTATTGGAAATACATTGCAATTTTTGTGTTCACGAGGTAAATTAAAATTACACATTTACGTAAATTAATATTCTCCTTTGAAATATAGGGTAGATCAGAACGAATTGGATCACAGGGAGAATCGAATCATTATAAGCTTTGAGAGTTATCATTACCTTGTTCTTTCATGCAATCTGTTTTATCGTACTTCCGTATTACTTCCGTGCGCTCCCCCTGCAGTGGAAACAACAGATAACAATTTTATATTGCGTGTGATTTAATGTCAATCGATGATATAAGCGTAGAAATCGCGAATGGCGAAGAAATTTCGTCTCTCATGTAAAGTCACGATCTCGATTTTATGAGTTCATAACGAAAAGATATGTTGAAATGTGTATAAATTATAATGATTTTTGCAGTGTATAGTTTTCTAAATCAGTCTAGTAAATAGTTTAATAATATCATTAAGATGATTTTGAGAAAATTAATATAGTTTATGAAGTTGACATATGGGATTAATCGGATAACTTCTTTCGGGGTGATTCGGATCATGAAATTAAGAGTAAAACTGAAGATTAAAAGTAAACCTAATTTATGTAAGGATTGGTATTGCATTTATTGCACTGAAAAATTTGTCCATTCACCTGTCGAAGACTGGATTCAATGCAAACAAATGTGAAGAATGATGCGAAAGTTGTGCTAAGAGAAAGGCATCATTTACTTGTAATTTATTTGTTAAGTAAACTATTTTTAATTTATATAACAAGTTTATTTCAGAGTTTGTTTAGAAGAATTCAAAGAATTCAAAAATTTCAAAAAATTTATTTATTTATTTTTATGTTTTTTTACTGGTGATCCATTTCGCCCCTCAATTTTAGGGCAAATCGAATAATTGCCTATTTTTTATTTTTGCGTTGCACAATAAAAAATATTATGTTTATATGTTATTTTATTATATAAAACTGAAGCCAAAAGTGTAGAGATTACAAATTTAGTAAAACTTAATAACAGAATTAGTTTATTATTATTTTTTTATCTATGAAAAAAAAATGATCCGATTCGCTCTGGTCTACCCTACTGTTTGCAAATATGTCACTCTGAGACATATAATTACCAATATTATTGATTCAATATTGATTACTTTAAAAAATTATTTAATTTTATCAAATTTATCAAATTTTATTCTTTTACAATTTGCAATAAAATTAATTTTGCGAATATTAAAGTTATTTGATAGCTAGTAGACTACAAAATATAAAGATATAATCAATTATATATTTTTCAATAAATATAAAATAATTCTACAAATTTACATAATTTTACATGTACATACATTTTTTAGAGGAACAGTGGAAGACGCTAATTACACATGCTAATCAGTATGTCATTCATAAAGTTTGGATATGCTTTTCACCCATCATAATTATCACTGATCCGGATGATATAAGGGTAATAAAATATAAAAAACATTTTATTTTTTTATTATTTATATCAGTAAATAAGGTTATTACCTTCTATGTTGCGAAGATCTGTTTACTTGCACAAAATTTGTTAGAGATGATTGCATATTTAAAATATTTTTGAAATCAATTAAATCGTTTATCTGCATTGCGTATAAATTAAGTACTATTTAACTCAATACTGTCTGTAATTTCAGAAAATATTAAGCAACATAATTCACATCGAAAAGAGTACCATTTATCATATCGCGGAACCTTGGTTGGGTACTAGTCTTGGCATTAGTAAAGGTAATGATACTAATATAAATAAGAATGCATGTTTTACTAGCAAGCATTTTTTTCTCTCTATCAAGTTTCCATTATATTAATAAAAATAATAACTTGTGCAAATAATTTTAAATATTACAAATAAATTAGTTTTTGTTCATTAAGAATTCCTACACACTTTAGCAGCTTTTTTAAATTGTCAACATTGAAGTTGACCGAAATTTATGATTGAAATATTTCTTACGAGTTTAGAGAAGAAGATGTATAATGTAGAGATATTGTCGTGTGTACAATACGCTGTGGACAACAATGTCCTGTGTGCAATGTGCTGTGTGCAATAATATCGTGTGTGAAATACACTATGTACAATAATGTTCTATGTGTAATACGCCGTGTGTAATATTGTCGTGTGTGCAATACACTGTGTACAATAATGTCATATGTGCAATGTGCTGTGTGCAATAGTGTCGTGTGTGCAATATTGCTGTGTGCAAACGAAGCTGTAGGCAATCGTTTTGTAGGCAATTGGGATCCTCCCGTCTTGTCAAAACACGTTACGACGCGTAATAAACCAAATGTAAATAAGTTTGTAGAGTAAATATATTATATTTCTTCAAATACATTATAAAATTTATACGCTAATAATTACTGCAGTATTTGCTCTCAATAGTCCTTTCATATCATCTTACTGTTATTTATTATAAATATATAAGTGAAAATAAATATAATATTTTCTCTTTTATAAAATAATAAATATTGAATTTGACATAAATGCAAATACATATACCATTTTGATGAAAAAGATTTTGTCTTTGACAAGGTACATGTATATTCTTATTCATACAAGATTGGTTAAACATTATCATATAAGAAAATTTTTTTCTAAAATAAATTTTATTTTATTTTTCAAATTGATATTTTTTATTTTAATATTAATAATTAAATTTATTATCTGCGTTTGCAATATCTTACATTAATATTATGAGAAAAATATCGGAAATATAAAGAAATTTGTTTTCCATTAGTAAATATTTTATCATACAATTTTTTATAGCAAATTTAAATGTATATTAAAGAAACAATAAATTTGAAATAAAAAATCAATAGTTACGAAAAATCATTCAATTTAAAATTAAATTAAAAGGTACAATTCTAATCTCAATATTTATTTCAAATCGTCATCTCATAATAATGTATTGTGTTGTTTGTTTTAGCCGACAAGTGGCATTCACGGCGAAAGATATTAAATCCTTCATTTCATTTTAATATATTGCAACAATTTACTGAGATTTTAATAAAGGAAAGCAAAAACATGATAAAGTGTTTGAAAAATGCAGAAGGCACAGTTGTGAAAGATTTAATACCGTTTGTTAGCGAGCATACGCTAAATGCAATATGTGGTATTGTATCTATCATACTCGTAACTATACATATATTAACGTATAATAGAAAATGTTATAAAACAAATATTATTATTTTATTAAAAAATTGCAACACTATACTAATACGGTAAAACGAAGTAATACATCTCAATAAGGAATATGCCCTATCATAAATATAAAAAAAATGATTCTCTTTTGAATAATTTGTCTGTGTCGCCTGCTGATTTATTCTGTAACTCTTAACGATAATGTCGATATTGTTATAGCATCGTTCCGGAGATATTTTATACGATAAAAAAGCAAACACACATAACAATACTGACAATCGTTAAAAGTTATAAAAAAAGCTGCTGATGTCAATTTGCATTCTACAGGCCTACAGACAAACCGCCCATTACGAAAGTTTTATCGAAAAAAAAAATAAAAATAGAAAATAAAAAACTGAAGTTGTTGCGGTAAGTTTTTTTAATTATACTTAAGTAAAAATATTTCTATAAAATGTAATACTTATAATCATTCAATGCTAATAGTTTATACTAGTTTAGTACCTATCTGCAATGAGATATATTTACTTAAAAAAAACGCTCTACTTTTATGAAGTGGATTTTGCCTCGATAAATGAATGTAATAAATATATAAAAATATAAATAAAGAAATAATAAATAAGTAAATAAATAAATAGAAATAATTAAAGAACCAAAACATAAATAAATAGAAGTAGTAATAAATTAAATAAATGTAATATAATAATATGTAATAAATAAATAAATTTTAATAAATGTAAATTCTATTTATTTATGTTTTGGTTATTTAATTATTTCTATTTATTTATTGATTAACCATGTAATTGCGGACTTTCCTACTCAGGTATTCATTGAATTAATTTTATCAGATACAGACATTTAATTAATTATATTTTAGCGTTAAATTTCTAACGATCTTTTTATTAATACTGTAGAAATTATATATTCTCACATTTCATTATAATGGAAATTAAAAAAAAAACATAACAAGGGACTATACGAATGCGTAAATGTGAGAAACATCTAATATTGGCAAATAAAAAATAAAAAAATGTTATATCGCCTACTGTTTATAAGAAATAATTGCGAAAAGCGAATGAAAAAAAATTTTTAACGAATTATTTTGTAATTATTTTATAATTATCTGTCACATTAAGAATGACCCGATAATGGATTAAAACTTTTTGTGTTATTATTATTAAAAGATTAAATTTAATTAGTTAGCAACAAACATCCAGCTTGGAGGGGGGGGGGGTTTGTAGTCCTTTTATTATTTATCTATTTATTTACTTACTTATTTATAATTTATTTATTTATATTTTTTTAGCGTCTACATAAATTTCTCGGAGCAGTTGCTCAGTATCAGTGCGCTCCTCGCTCTGATGAAGGTTCACGAAATATTAGCATTAGTAATGAACAAGAACACGGCGATAACCTGTTGACACAAACTTGTTGATATCTTTAAAGATAATAGCCGTAAAAACTAAAAAGCGTTATATTTTAAACTACAAATGTAAACTACAAATCAGCGCTGACAGTGAATTTTAGAACACAGCTTTTATTTATCGAGGCAAAATCCACTTCATAAAAGTAGGGCATTTTTTGAATAGTTATAACAATTAGTTTTGTATGCAATGCACAAATATTTTATTATAATTTCTAATCTAAACATAAGATCTATTTCTGAAAAGTATTAAAAAGGGCATTTTTATCAACAGCTCTGTCAAAAATGCCTGAGATGTACTTGGCCATCTGAGGCATTTTTGACAGAATTATCAGAGAAAACGCCCTTTTTAATATTTTTTTGGTTTTGATGGATTTTGCTTCTAGATTAGAAGTTAAACATTTGTGCATTACATACTAAGCTAATTGTTTTTTTTATTAACAAAGTTGATAAAAAATATTTTGATTATAAATGCGCGTTTTACTGAAGAAAAACGAAATGTGAGACGTATTTCCTCGTTTTATCCTAATATTAACAGCTATATATTCTTGGATGTATATAATAATATTTTATGTAATAATATTGTAATACTTTTATATATACATTTGCAGAAACAGCTATGGGCACTTCCCTACAAAATTTAAGTACGTCCCAGCAACAGTATCGAAAAGCGGTTCACCGGATGACTGAACTTATTATTTATAGGTAATTTATAAATATAAAGTATAAATCTAGATTCTGACTTAACATGTTACATTGATAAATATTTTATAATTATATCAAGATAAATAATATACGATCGATGAAACTGTTCAAAAATAAATATTATTTAAGCTTTTCAAATTTTAAATACTAAAGTATCAACTAGAAAAATATAATGTATAATTTAGTATAAAAATACGTTTCTTATCTGACTGAATTATAGTTGAAAAAGTTTATACTGTAAGTCAAATATACAAATCTCACATCTCATATTTAGCATACTTACATGTTATTTCCGTGAATCTATTCTCTTTTTTATGATTGTTGAAATATTATCTACTAATTCTAAGAATTTATACACTAAAAAAAGTTAAGTAATTTCAATAAATATTTGTTTGAATATTTCTAAGTAAATATTTATTAAATGTAAATTTATATTTATTTGATACAAAAACTATTGATTAAACTGTTGATAAAACTAGTATATGATTTATTTAACATTTTTTATTAAGTAAATATTTATTGACTGTAAGTTTATGCTTACTTTGTACTATTAAAAAAATATGTACTAAGATTTAATAAAATTATTTTTAATGTAGAGGAATTAAAGGATATTTTTACAAAATGATACTATTACTTAAAAAAAATAGTGTATCGATTAGTAATTGTGGTTTTTATTTTTTAGATTTTTAAGGCCATGGCTGCACTTTGATTGGATATTCTCGTTGACGTCAAAAGGTAGAGAACACAAAAAGATTCTGAAGATACTACACAGATTTACTGAACAAGTATGTAAAAATACTTCTATTTAATGTGTTACTACTATTTAATATTATACCTAAACGTTATTTTTTAAAAAATTACTATAAAATTCCCATAATTTTCGTGTACAAAAACATTGCGATTTATTAATAATAATAAGTTAAACTAAATTAGACCACTACAGGAATAAATCAAATAAAAAAATACAGAACTAATAGGCATCAAATAAAAGAAGAACTATACGGCTATATTTTAGGATGCTTGGACCGTAAATAATATTTTTATGTGATAATTAAAATTCAAATTTTAATAATTCCAGATTTCATAGCAATCAATAAAGTAAAATAAAGGCTGTGAGCCAAATGCAAATTTTTGTGAATTCTTTAATACATTTTTTAATCTTCAAATTACGCTCCAAACACTATTGAAAAAAACAGTCTTAAATTAAAACTAAAATAATATCATAAATTAATCTGATAGTTAATTTAATAATAATAATAATATTAAATAAGTATTTTAAAACACTGCAAAGACACTATAATATTCAACACGTAGTTTAAGGAATTAATAAAATGTTATATTTAAAAATTTATTAGATTAAAATATTATTAAATTCTAAAGTATAATCTCGTATTTGATACTTTTCTATTTGATTGATTAATTTTATGATTATTCTTTATTTCTTTTTTTTTATTCTTAATTAATTATTCTTAATTGATTAATTCTTTAACAACACATTATTTAACGCATTCATATAAATCATAGAAGAAGCATTAAAAAGTTATATTTACGTAGATTATTGCTGAAAGAAGACTTTATCATGAACGCACTAATGGTCAATACTTGAAAGAATTTGATAATTTATCAGCACAAAGAGATGACAATGAAACCATTGGAAGTACGTATGTAATATAATCGGACGCTATTCATTAAATTTAGTATAATATTATAAATTATATTTTACAATTAAAAATCAAAAGATAGTTTCATTTCTTGATGTAATAAATATTATCTAATAAAAGTCACAGAAAAACGTACTATTAAAATAATACTAATATATATTTTAATTTAGCACAGAAAAAGCAGCTTTCAATGTTGGATCTTCTAATAGCGACATCTCGTGAAAATATTATGACTGATATAGATATTAGAGAGGAAGTTGATGCTTTTGTGTTTGCGGTATGTTTTTGTAATAATTTCTTTTGATTTTTTACGAATTAGTTATTATTTCAATATATGTATATAATGTGGTTGTAGGGCTGGGAAACTACAGCAGCAGCTGTAAGCTTTATTTTGGCACAATTAGCTGAGGATAAGGACATTCAGGTATTTATATTATCAAATATAAGTTGCTTCTTAGACTTCTAAAGAAATTAATTAATTCTAATAATTCTAGAAGTCAGTTATTTAAAATATATCAAATTAAATATTTTAAATGTGTGTATGTAATGTATTGTTTCTCTGTATAGATATGCAAAAATGTATATATACGCGTGAGCTATGTTTCAAATATTCTATTTTTCAACGTTTTTTCAAAATTTTATATACACATAATTAAAACAAGTTAATTTGATACTTGTGAAAAACATTTCTGAAATTTCATAGAGTTTACTAATTGTGTCTATATAAATGCATTAAAATAACAAAAACGCACTTTTAATTAGCATTACTGATACAGTAACATCAATGATACAGGATCGTGTTAGGAACGAAGTCGATTCTGCTATACAAGGGAATGAGAAGAAATTTAATTTCAAATTGTTGAAACAACTACCATATTTAGAAAGATGTATAAAGGAAGCGTTGCGTTTATATCCCAGTGTACCGTTTATATCACGTATTTGTGGAGAAGACATAAAATTACGTACGCATTAACAAATTTTTTTGTTACATTTTTTATCTTATTTTTAAATATATTACTTAATATCTCAAGTAGCGAGGAGACATTACTTATCATTATTTTGACATAAAAATAATAATAACAGCTTTATTAAACAGAAGAGCTATTATTATATACACTCGTTAACAAAATTATCGCAACATAAATTTACATAAAAATTTTGCATAACTTCAAGTAAGCGTAATTCCGTGAAAAATGGATGTATTAAAAAATTTTTTTTTCATTCAAGGATAAAGTCTATACTTTAAGATTTTCAAAAATTTTGAATTTATTCTTATTTCCACCCGGCATTTTTTCTAAAGTAAGGAAGTATCACATCTCCAAAAAATTACATAATTTAATACATGCTGTGGGATAAAACGAATTTTTTTCGTTATGATAATCGTCATAAAGTTTGGACTTTTCCTTGCAAATTTAAAAAAAATTAAAAATTTGTGAGATTTTTTGTTGCGGTGGTACAGTATACCAAAATTATCTATGCATTTTTGTTCAACTACCGCCAGCATTAACATTATCCGATACGCATCATGGGAAGATTCCTGATCGGATTTTGCGCATAAGTTATCATTACTCTAATATTATATATAGCAGTATTATTTACCATGTTCGCAATTCTCTCACTCTACATATATATAATACTGCATATAAAATTTTCCAAAAATAGTGTTATACTTATAATTAGCATTATTATTAACTTTAAATTATTATATTATATTTCATAATACAAAAATTAAAAGCATATATTCCTGTTTTATATTTGCAGATATTTAATTTAAAAAATTTAATAAGAACTTGTAATTATTATTTATCTCATTTTATAATATTCTTTTCAGAATCATATTTAGTACCTGCTGGAACAATGATAGTTATCAATATTTATGCAGCCCACAGAAATCCTAATTTCTGGCCAAATCCACAAGTATTTGATCCAGATAGATTCTTACCCGAGAAAATCCAAAATCGTCACTATTATTCGTATATACCATTCAGTGCTGGACCACGTAACTGCATCGGTAAGCAATAATTTTTTATACCCTTACATAAACAAATTGCATATATTAAATTTTAGGCCAACAATTTGGTATGCTGGAAATAAAGACAATGATAGCTTCTGTGATACACAATTTTTACTTGGAGCCTATTGATTATTTAAAAGATGTTCAGCTACAAACTAATATCACACTTTCCCCTGCTCAACTTCGTATAAGATTTATCCCTATTCACAAAATTAATGTAAGTATTTGAATCAAATATCGACTTAATATATGTCATAGAAAGCAAACGTCGGAGAAGTAGTAAAATAGGGTGTATATTATAGACAAGGTGTATAAATATGGTGTATATTATAGACAATGGAATAACTCGTTACTCTTATAACAAAGTTATAGTAATAGTATTACTTTTTTTAGGAATTGTAACTTGATTATATTTTTTGGTAACTACTGACTAATTTAATGGTTATCTTTCTAAACATTTTTACGAACATGTTTTATAAATTATATATTACTCATTATATATTATTGTTTATATAACATATAAACTGTATTCAGCAGAATAAAGCGATTAATGAATAGTCAGCAATTATTTCTTGTAATATGAATACTCTTATACCTTTACCTTTGATATAATCTTATTCCATAAATGTATTTTTTAAGATTTATATCTAGGATCGTTTTATGAATCCATCTTATTATATATATTGGTCTCAGTATTTTTTAAATATAATACATTTATTAATTCATTATAAATTATTAATTTTTAATTATAAATTTTTAATTCAGCTAATATATTGAAATGTATTGAATCTATTTTTAAATTTTTAAAAATGTTATTTTTAGAAATGTGACTCATTATATAGTAAATAATATATAAGTATATATGTATAACCGAGTATTTTGGTATAATAAGTAAAACAATTTAATATTATTCTTGAGGCTTGGGTGCTTTCTATATAAAGATTATGCGTTTCGCGGGTTTTCTCTGTGTTCAGATCCATTCTTGGAATGCCAATGTGAATCTTGTAGTCCACTTCATTAGGGCGAGAAGCAGCCTGATATCGGCCAGAATAGATCTGGACGGAGAAAACTTATAAAACGCATAATCTTTACAATTTAATATTGTTAGTAATGTAAGATTCTTGTATTAAAAATAATAACACATTAAGCTTTCAAAACATTAACATTAAAGTAATTGAACAATAACTCATTAGTTTTTAACTATGACTTCGATATATTCACTGGCAATGCTAAAAATGTATAGGATACGTAAATATACTATTCGCTTGTCTTAGCGCTGAGGCATTAAAAAATTATTTTCGGAAAGAATTTTCGTCCATCTGCCGAGTTAATTTGTTAATAATTTTTTTCTAAGAGGGGCCTTTTTTTAAAACTGCACAGATAACTTTCTAATACCTCCTAGAATGTGTATAGATCATTGTATAAATTCCGTGCGAGAATGCAAGAGATCCGGGTTTGACTCCCGGCCAAGACAATATTTTTCGCAATAAGTTTATTACAGTTTTTTAAGATTTGGGAAATTTGGGGGGATTATTAATATTTCAGATTGATTGCGAGTCCGACAACCATATCGGCACGTAATTATCATTTCTGAAATTAATTCATTTAAATGAATATATAATATATAGTATTGTAGTTCAACATCCTAATATTTAGACCGGAGTGGCGCTTCGTATTTAAATAAGCTTCGTATCTACGTTTTTTTGCTAAAAACATAGATTTTTCGATACTTATCTATACTCAGATTTTAGACGTAAAAAAAAGAGATGCAATTCCTATTTAAATTTTTCTTCTCTTACAACTCGATAGTCATTTCATAAAAGAAATAAAATCTATAATATTTATTAGTGATGCACCGGATCATAAAATTATCGGATATCGAATATTAGATATCCGAAAGAAATGTATATATATATATAACATCAGATATCCGATATTTTCTGAATATCCGACCAGATTCTGGGACAAAAGAATAGATCTGGACGGAGAAAACTTATAAAACGCATAATCTTTACAATTTAATATTGTTAGTAATGTAAGATTCTTGTATTAAAAATAATAACACATTAAGCTTTCAAAACATTAACATTAAAAAAAGAAAAGACTAGGTAAAAAAAAACAAGACAACGAAAAAGACTGTATCAATAGAGATGATAACTATAGAGAAAAAAAATTGTATTCGTGATAATATATAAGACATTATAGCATTATGAGTATGCATACTTATTTATATAATAAAAAATCTACAATTTAATGATATAAAATTTCAACCGAATATATTCCCGGATAATAATGATATTCGACTATCCGGTCGAATAGTAAAAAAGTGCCGGATAATACCAGATACTTTTCGGATATTCGATGCATTCCTAATATTTATTCAATGTGTCATTTCATCCCTCAAACCGTAATATGACACAAAGAAGAAATAGTTGTGTCACGGATAAATTATTCTACTTGCTCAAAATTTTCTGAATTTCTACGTTGTCTAATTCTTCCTTGTAAAATAACATAATTAAAAAAATTTAATATAAGTAAAA